CGTTGCCCTCCTTCTGAACATGTTATGAACATTTATGAAAATTTTTAGAGCACTGCTCTCAAGGTAGATCAGCTCATGTTTGCTTGTGATCAGCAGACAACAAAGTGATATCAGCTTCTGACTCCTCTAGGCCCATTTACATGCCCTCGACAAATTCACCGAGTGGTGTACCTTGTCCTAGTTTAGTATCATGTATGAATTTCATTAATCTTCCCTCCTGTTTCAGATTGTGACTAAAGATAATTAAACGGGACTAATCGTAAAACCTTCCCACTATGACAATGCACTCACCACCTACCTTTCAGTGCAATATGCTAATGTTATTTTAAAAATTGCTATAGCACCAATCAGTGCAGTACCTACACATTCACGATCCCCAAAAGATTAAAATTTCACTCATCCATTTTATAACTTTTACTCTCTTTCCAATCAAGAAAAAACACACTAGTAGCAGCATCTTCCTAGTTTTTGTCTCTGAGTTTTTTGCAGTTGAGTAGGATTCAAGGGCTTAGGAAGCTACATTCACAGTAGTAAATGAGGAAAAAAGATCACCAAGATAACAGAGACAAGAAGGCAATCCACAGTGATTGTGCTCTACTGAGAGACACAGAATGAAGAGTCTCCCCAGTTACTCTGAACAACAGGACCCAGCCATTAAAAAGATTTAGGCTAGGGGTAGGCAAAAATGGTGACTCTCCTCCATCTATTTTTTTCTCTACACACAAGAAGATGCCAGTGTTTCAAACAGCAACAGCCAGATGGGTTTAATGTTGCCTGGCATCATCTCCTTTTGTCTTCCTCTCTGGAAGCATCTCTTCTCTGATTCAGAAGTAGACACAGGGTATGCTGAATAAAGTAATCTCTTAAATATGAAGGGGAAAGCCACTCAGGAGGAATTTGAAGTTTGTGCATTGTCATTAGAAATGGCAACAAATACGGAAGACTATTTCCAAACTACAAGTTTCACATCTGCAAAATAACAAAGTCACATAATAGATAGTCCAGCCAAACCTTAGAGCAGGTGGTCTCATCTACCTTTGTGATACATCATTTACTTCTGAATAGAAGTCTTATTGAAACTAGCCTGCTATTACATTAGGGAAATTGGTAAAAAAGTGCACAGCTTTTTAAATACACCACTAAAATGCACTCTGCAGAAAAGCATGAAAACAACAAAGGTCAAAATTAAAGTCTGAGGCTTGATTAGCACAATATCCTTAACTAAAATTCTACTGTGATTGCAGAGAAACAGGTGTCAAACAGGAAAACAGAAGATTACCTTTAATTCTGTGTACTTTCATTTGTTCTGTCTATGCTCGAATGTTCTCAAGACTTACAGAAAGACTTACGAAAATTTACAAAAGATGAAAGAGAGGTCTGTGGTGATTAACCCACTGCACATTTACAGGATGACTAAATCATGTTTATATTCACTCTAGGTGAACATTGTTCGTCATCATTCTTCACCAACAAGAGCCATTCCCAGTTTGCCCAAGTGCTGATGAAGTCTAAAAGCTAACAAGTATATTTCAGGATTAGTTTTCATATCATCTGCCACATGAAACAAAAGGGTAATGTCTATCACTGAAATCCCTTTTCAGACAGTAAAAGCTACCGTCTCTGTAAGCTTCGGTTTGCTGCTACAGTTCAAAATTCAAAAGAAAATTAAACAACATTTTCAGTCAGCACGCTTCTGAATGCCTAGAGAACAAGCATCTCGATTCCCAGATGACAAGCTTGTCTGCTAGCAGCCATAGCTCCTCAACCTTTGTTGTCAATTTTCCTTCCAGACAAGCTCTTCCTTACCAACTTCTGCCTCACCCTTTCTGCCCCTATGACTCTGCATTTTCTCTGTTTAAATAAGCAATGGCAGATAAGGATGTCCCTCCCAGAAAGAGAAATGTTCACGTTTCCATCAAAGAAAAATACTAGACAGGAGGAGGAGAAGGCAAGATAGCAGTAAGAACACAAAGAACACACATCCTTTTCACAACACACAGTTTAACTCTGCAAACAGTTCCTGCTCAGACACCAAGAGGCCTGCAGAATTACAGAGGGCATAACCAGGCAACAAGGATCAAATGTGCAACTGTATAGATCAGTTAATATGTTAGACAGCCTATTCCAATCATTGCATGCATGCAGCACAAAGAGGGGGGGAAGTGTACACATATATGAAGTCAAATTATCCAATAAGAGGAGCAAATGTTGACCTATGTGCAAGAGCAGTTTTCCACTACTGCTGCAAATCATCTGCAGCAGGCTGAAAAGTGCAGATTTAGCACTCACCTCACGCATCAGAGTCAATTTCTTTTTCTCCAAGGAATCAGCAGCCAGTTGTTTTTCCTTCTTCCATTTTCTTTTCAGTGCTTTCTCTTGCAGTTCCAGATGTGCCAGTGCTTTGTTTTTTGATTTGTATATTTCATGGCGACGCAGCTACGTAAATATGAAACAAACCATTTAAAAATCAAGGGACGATCTAAAGCAAAATTTGCAGGGTAATGCTAATGAGCTCTTCTTGATTTTATCATTCATGTGCTGAATACTATTTATGTTAACTTCATGGTAGTACCAATGACAGCCTCATAAACATCCAGAAGTGTAAAATGCCATCAAGACCAGCCACATTTACAGCGGCTCCAGGGGTGAATGGGGAAAGTCTCATGGTTTCCATCTGCCCTACACCACTGACTCAGTAAGAGTTTTCTCAGCTGTAAAGGGAGGAAAAAACCAAACACTAGCACCTACAATATGCATAAAAAGACATAATGCATCTTCCTGATTTAACAGTCAGTCACCAGAGACATTCTCTCTGTTATTCTAACAATGATATATATATATATTTTCAGCTGAAATATAAATTAAAAAAATTAAACATGTGAGGTGCTTACTAAAGTGTCTGGAAGCTATCACGCCAACCATTTATAGAATCAAATCTCTCTCTGTTATTGTGCCCATCTGTCCTGACTAACCTGCCAAAATTTATAAGCAACAATAGCTCATACTGCCTATTCCACCCTGGTAATCAGTGCTACCAAGGAAAATGAAACGTAATTCACATATTTTGTAATGAACAGCTTGTTCAGTATAAAGAAATTATGTTAAATTAAAATTTAGTATCTTCAGAATTAGAGAGATTCCTAAAATAAAAGCATCTCTCTCAGTCCTTCCAGGAGAGATGAGACTTAACTTCAGCTACTCCACTGAGTTTTTATGTATTTATGTTTTTATGCTTTTATGACGGTATACACTTTATTGAAATAAGAACTATGGCTAGTGCTTCCTAATGGAAACAGAAAACTGAAAAACACCAACTGCCAGAGCTGGGGATGCACAATATCATAAACAAAAAAATAACACTAAAGAGCTAGTATATTCAAAAGCCTAAAAAGGGAGATTAAACATTGGTAGAAAACATCCCTGTAAGTATGGTAAATACTAATGCTAGATAACCAGCTAAATCTCCTTTCTATAGAGCAGGAGCAATGATTGATATTAAACTTACTATGTCCTCAGGAGTTGCACGGTGGATTGTCAAATCATGTACGGTACTCTGAAAACAGGAACCAGAGAACACATCAAAGGCCAGAACTGAGGATGAACTGGGTTTTTTTCAAGTTTCATTAAAAAAACCCCTCTAAACTACAATATAATTAGCATAAAACTATACAGTGGTGCATCTTTATGGCATCGTAAAGCATTCCACACTCAGTGAGGTAGGCAATCAGCAAAAATACCCCTACCAAGACTGTGCAAGCTCTTCAGCCTAAAGAGCGGGCTGCCAGCTGGGAGGCCCGACCTCAAACAGGCCCAAGGAAGCCAGAGGGGTCATGTCCACGCCACGCACACGCAACTCCCCGTCACGATATCCCTTCCCCGCCCAAAACCCACACGCAAATCGGGTGTCTCCAAACGCGAGCCCCCACGGAGGCCGGTGACCTCTATAGGCT